GGACAGATAGATCCTTCATACTTCTCCATTCCAGCCTTTTTTGTTTGAATTCTGCTTGTCAATCTACTTCTGATCCACTCAAACATGCTAATGATAGGCTTCTCTCTAGCCTCAAGGATGTAGCTATTGAAGGATTCACACAGATTGTTTACTAACACATCTGTCTTGCAGCTTCTTGAGAAATAAGATCTGGCCCAATGACATGGAGGAATTTTTCTTAAATATTCTGCTGCAGCTTTATCAAACCTGCCAATCTCCACCATAACTGCTTCAAATTCATTTTTGTTGCCTGTGGAAGCAGCTCTCCATAACATTGTTTTCAGCTCCAAAGCTGGCCATTTTTGCTTGAAATTCTGGTAGATGTGCCTCACACAAAACCTGTGATCACAACCAGGGGCAACATCTTTAATAGCTTCAAGAAGACCTTTTTGCCTGTCAGAAATGAAGGTCCATTTCCTTTCTTCAACACCTCCAATTTCTTCTAGCAACTCACCCAAAAACCATGTCCAGGATTCTCTGTTCTCAACTGGAACCACAGCTAGAGAAATTGGAAAAAGGTTATCATTCCCATCCCTCCCAACAGCACAAAGAAGCTGCCCTCCATGTGGTGTTTTCAAAAAACATCCATCTAATCCAATTAGTGGCCTGCATCCTGCAAGAAATCCCAACCTCATTGGGGGAAGGCTGAAATACATCCTCTCAAAGATTGGAGGATCTGAATAAAGAATCTTTCTCAGCAATAACTTAGCACCAGGGTTTCTAGCTCTAACAGTTTCACAGTAATCCCACAAGAGACTGTATTCTTGAGCATCTTGTCCCCTTATTTTGTTGAGTGCATCTTTTTTTGCCCTCAAAGTCTTCCAGTAGCCAGCTTCTACACCCACCTTTCTCATCACTGAGTTTCCAAGTTTGCATATTTCAACATCTGGATTGTCTTTAATGGAGTCTCCCATTCTCATTCCAATATATTTTGCACTAGCATGCTTGTTAATTCTTTTCCTTGAACAGGTGTGTTCTCCAGTTAGTTTCTTGATCTACAATAAATAAATTAAAAATACTTAATTAAAAAATAATACATAATAGATAAGTACATAAATATTAAAAAAAAAACAGAAACCAAGAAACCATAATATAAAATAGAATAGTACACAAAAAATATAATATTTAAATACCTGAAATATTGGACCACCTTGTACAGCAGATGCATGGATTCTCCAACTACATCCTTTTTCTTTGCATTCTGCTGTTACCCTTTTCCTTTCATTTTTCAAAAATTCAAGTTCATACCCATTTCTCACTAACCAATCTGTGAGAGCCTCTCTAAATGCATCAACATTTGAAAATTTCATCAACTCTTCTAAATTTTTATTCTTCATACTCTGTCCTTCACTGAATATAGGGCATTTGGCTTTAGTTGAGTCATTCAGATTCTCAATAGTATCATCATCTTCTGCCTCACTGTACCATTGGGTTGTAGATGGTTGCACTGCACATTTCTGCAACCTTCTAGCTGGTCTTTTGGATTTCTTGCCCATTCTTTTCAACTTCTTGATCAAGTCTTGCTTACTGAACTGTCTATTCAAAAAAATGTCATCATCTGAAGACCCCTCAATGTCTTCTAACTCTTCACTTGGAGCATCAGAATGTACATCAACATCATCTGAACAATCTTCAGGCTGAATGTAGTCACCATCATCTGAATCATCATCCTCAGAAAACACCACATCATCATTTCTGGTATCTTCATTTCTTGGTTCTTCAGTTGGTTGTTGTTCATTTCTTGTATCTTCATTTCTTGGTACTTCAGCAAACACATCTTCAGGTGTTGGTTCTTCAGTGGTTAGGAATTCAGCAAAAATCTCTTCAAGTGTTGGTTCTTCAGGCTGTACTTCTTCAGCTGCTGCTTCTTCATGATGTAGTTCTTCACTTGTTGGTTCTTCAGGTTGTACTTCTTCACTAGTTGGTTCTTCAGGATGAGGTTCTTCACGCTGAGGTTGTGCAGTTGTTGAGTCTTCATCAACTGTATCTTCATCACCATTCCGCATATAAAGAATTTCTTTCCTCTTTTACATACATTCCCATCCCTATCAACTGCAATGATTGGCTCTATGTCTACATCTT